ATATAAGGCCAAGCTTGGTGGCCAAAGTATATAATCAAAGGTCAAGGTATGATTTTCAAGAGACTTTTAGTCTCGTATTGAAACAAACTACAATTCATTTGTTTTTGGCTTTTGCAGCAATTCAAGGGTGACATCTTTCATAGATGGATGTTAACAATGCTTTTCTCAATGGGAATTTGGATAAGACTATTTATATGGATCTTTCTATGGGTTATCAAGTTGAAGGGAAGTATACACAACCAGTATACAAGCTTCAAATTCATTATATGATTTAAAACAAGCTTCAAGGTAATGAAATTCTAAGCTCATAAGTGCTCTACTATCTTTTGATTTGTCTCGATCAAAGACAGACTACTCATTATTTGTTAAATAGGTATCATGTGATATTGTTCTTGCTTTACTAATGTATATTGATGATATAGTAATTGCAAGCAACAATAGTGACACTATTAAAGATTTTAAGAAGTATTTATATTTTTAATTTAAGATGAAGGATTTAGAAAAATTAAAATTCTTACTTGGCATAGAAGTTGCTTGATCTTCTACTAGAATTTCTTTATGCCAAAGGAAATATGTTTAGATTTGCTAGCTGAACATGGTTGGTTAACGACTAAACCAATGTTTACTCCTATGGATCCTAACAATAAACTCCTACAAGCACAATCTGGTTTTCACAAAGATCCTATGGTTTACGGACAACTAGTGGGAAAGATTACGTATCCGACTTTTACAAGGCCGGATATTTCTTATACCGCATAGGTTCTTTCTCAATACATGAATAAATCAGCTAAGATACCTTTGTAAGCAACCTTTAAAGTTATGAAATACTTGAAGTTATCTTCAGTAATGGTTTGTTCTTTTCTTCACGATCTATTGCCGAGTTGAAAGAATACACAAATAGTGATCGTGCAAGATGTAAGAACACATGAAGATCGGTGATAGGTTATTGGGTTTTCCTTGGAGATTCTCTTATTACTTGAAAATCAAAGAAATAATCCCCGATTGTAATAAGCTCGATAGAGGAAAAATATAAAGCCATGTCTTCTACTTGTTGTAAGGTTGTGTGGTTGTTGACATTGATTCATGATTTGGGTTATCAAGTTCAAGGAAAGTATACACGACCACTTTATAAGCTTTAAAGTCATTATGTGATCCGAAACAAGCTTTAAGGTAATGGAATTCTAAGCTCACAAATGCTCTACTATGTTTTAGTTTTTCTCAATCAAAGGTAGACTACTCATTATTTGTTAAACAAGTATCATTTGATATTGTTCTTGCTTGACTAATGTATATTGATGATATAGTAATTGCAAGCAACGAGTAGTGACACTATTAATGATTTTAATAAGTATTTACATTCTCGAGTTTAAGATGAAGGATTTAGAAAAACTAAAATTCTTATTTGGCATAGAAGTTGCTCGATCTTCTACTGGAATTTCTTTATGCCAAAAGAAATATGGTTTATATTTCATTGGTCGAACATGGTTTGTTAGGGGCTAAACCAATGTCTACTCTTATGGATCTTAACAACAAACTCCTACAATCACAATCTGGTTTTCATGAGGATCCTATGGTTTATGGACAACGAGTGGGTAAAATTCTATATCCGACTTTTACAAAGTCAAATATTTCTTATACCGCATAGGTTCTTTCTCGGTACATGAATAAACCAGCTAAGATACCTTTGTAAGCAACCTTTAGAGTTATGAAAAACTTGAAGTTATCTCTTAGCAATGTTTGTTCTTTTCTTCACGATCTGTTGCTAAGTTAAAGGCCTACATAGACGGTGATTGTGCGGAATATAAGAACACATGAAGATCGGTGACGAGTTTTTGTGTTTTCCTTGGAGATTCTCTTATTGCTCGAAAATCAAAGAAATAATCCCTAGTTGTAAAAAGCTCGACGGATGCGGAATATAGAGCCATGTTTTCTACTTGTTGTGAGGTTGTGTGGTTGTTGGCATTGCTTCATGATTTGGGTTTTGAACACAAGTAAGGCGTTTTGCTCAAATGTGATAATCGATCGACTATACACATCGGTAGGAATCCTGTTTCTATGAAAGAACATAACATATTGAAATAGATTGTTATTTCATAAGAAAAAAAGTTATTACTTGGAGTCATTATACCCGAATATGTTTTCTCTATTTTATAGGTTGTAAACTTGTTTACCAAACCACTCGTAACCGACTCGTTTCCAGTTCCTTTTAGGCACGATGAGCATGCTCAATATCCATGCTCCTCTTGAGGGGGAGCATTAGAATATTATAGGAGTTTTTAAGTATTTTTCTAATTATAACAACTAGTTTTAGCAAATTGTATTAATTACAGTCTTAAGTTTTGTTGCTAACAAAACTCAATTTTGTTTTTTCTTCTTCATAATATAAAAAGGAAAAAGCTCCTTTATAATTAGTATCCGTAACATATTTTTGAATCTAATGAGAAGTAACTCCTTTTTTCTCTTTTGTTTAGTTACTTCTCTCTCCTCTATTTAGCTTGTGTTTTCGTGATTTAATATATCTTTCTTTATTTAGCTTTGTTTCTCTTTCATCTAACATATGTTAATGACTAAATTGAGATTACTCACATAAAGATAGGGCCATCATTATAATTTTATAAGCAAAAATTATTTTTCCTTTACAAATCCCAGTAATTTCCAAACAAAAAAGATTAATTAGTTCTCCACCATCATTACTCATTAGTCATTCCTCTTGTAACTCTCGACCCTACGAAACTTTTCGCACGTTATGTACGAAACGAATCACCAGGTTGTGGTTCGATCTCATAGTCCATTACCAAATAACAATAATCAAAGTCAGACTGCTGGTTATTTCCAGTATTACGTTCAGATTTTCTATGAATCTCACTCCAAAAAAGAAGAAAAAAACGCCGTAGATTCAGCCAACGACTTTCATTTTTTTTCCAATTGGAATTTACTATTCAACAATTTCCTTCCAGTTTCCTTCTTCCCGTTGTCAACCTTCTTAGTAAACCTAACTCCGTCTTTATTAATGTGCTGAAAAAAGCATTTCATCGACTGGCACGACAACTTTCACGATCACCAATTAAAAAAGGGCAGCTGTCTGGCAATTTCGTGGGAGCAGAGCAGTCCAAAATCCAAATTGCAAACTTTTAGAAAAATGAAAAAGAAATGCTTAGTGCTTTTATTTTAGCCGTCATTGCAACTTCCACGAAGATTCCATGTGTGCATATATCAATGAAATCTTCAAAAGTTTAAGACGTGACTGAGATGGATGATTTATTATGCAATTTATTTTGATTTTGATGAGATTATATATGGTGTTTGACCATGGCAATACAAAGACAAATATGATTATGATGTTAAGACGATAGTGACAATGACTTTGCGAAACTATTTTTCCACTCAACCCAGCAATGTCATGGCATTTTCTTCTTCTTGTTTGTTGTTTAATTTTTTTTTTTTTGGCCGTACGAAACTGATTAATTTCTTAAGTTCGTCTGCTTGATCCATAAGATTCAGAAATGTCAAGATAACTGCTGAGAGATTTAATATCTTTCAACTCCGTTGAATTTAAACGTGGAAACCACTTGTCTCAAGTCTCAACTATACAAATATCTGTCCCCGCCATTCTACCAGCATAACGCAGACGGCTCAAATTGTTAAAAAGTACTGTAATTATGAAAAGTAGTGCAATACCACCGTCTCCCTGCTATGTTTTGTTGCTTTCTCTTTTCCACTTTGTTTGTTCATGTTTTTATTCCTAATTGTTTGTCTAATTTCTAAATAAATCACTATAAAAAATATGTGGTTTTTTTATTCATACACTTAATTGTTTGATTAATTACAATCACATTTCAAAATATATGAACTTTTATGTTTTTCAAGATATTAATGGTTTCTAAAATATGCATAGCATACAAAACAATACATAATTATTTAATAAATAGTTAAAATCTGGTAGCAACAACAAAACGAGATGGAAGAAATGTATGACCAAATATTTTACGAATGTTCAAACTACTTGCTAACCTTCTATTAATACATGGAAGGCTAAAAAGTTTAAATCTCTCTTGAATTTTAATCTATTTGAAAATCTATTTTTGAATCTTTAATTTATATTTTAACTTTTTAAATTTTATTTTTTATATTTAGTCTATCTTTTAGTTTTTTGGTTGTTTATTCCAAAAAAAAATTATAATTATATAAATAATCTCATGATAAAAATCATTTAATAAGATTTATCTAGAGTTTCTCAAAAAATTATGGATCATTCCAGATTTTTTGATATATATATTTTTAATATTCAATATATATATATAGTTCCTAATCTTTAAATTTTTTGGAATTTTTTTAAAAAATTAATTGGATTTTTTTTAATGTATGTGCAAAATTTCATATCAAAATAATAAAAATTGATTTTTTTAAGAAAAAAGAGGTGATGGTTGAAAATCATATAATAGGTTAATTTTAAAAAATAAAATAAAGAGAGGTCAAATTAAAAATAAAAAATTTTAAACGTGATTTTTAAATGAACGAAAGTGGAGAGAAGGTTGGTCTTTTTAGCCTACGTTCACTCGTTTACTAGTAACTAATGCATTCTTGGCACTCTCAAAATCCTTTCATTTGCTAAACCATGTAATGTTACTAACAAGAAAAACGTGTAATCCTATAAAAATGTTTGCTTGGTGTTTTTGTAGAACTGACCATGTCCTTTTGGCATATGATGCAGATTAATTTAATTTTATCAACTGCTGGGACAGATTCCCAGTCCTTTTCGCTAGTAGTGGTAGCTGCGTGTCGTATACGAGCCAGCTGAACTTTGACTAATTTCATGTCAATCTGATCGACATGTGTAACCCTGACCTTGGTCAAATTTCATGTGAATCTGATCGACATGAGTAACTGGGTGATCTCTGCCGACCTCGAATATTATAGCCCATGCATCGGTAGGTGGAGTTGGACGTGCAGCGATCCATTGCCATTTGTGCACATGTCCAATTTTCTTGAAAACTTGGAAATTAGATCAATACAATCATGTCGTCAATACGTCCACCGACAAGCTCCAATAGCCGTGTATCCAATTTCTCCCAGGAAGCCATCATTACAAAGCCGCAATCCTTGTGCCTTTCCCTGCCTGATCTATTAACCATTTAGCTTCAATGAAAGCGATAGTAGCAATTCATGGTATGCTTTCCGCAAAACAATCGTGCAATACGTAGTTTAGTCACTTATTTACACCTATATATAAGCTAAGGATCAGTTCGAATTTCAAATATTTTTGATAGAAATATCCTAAATCTCGAAATATGTGATTCTGACATATTATGTATCAAGAAGGTAAGTCTTAAACCTTGTGTTGATCACAGCCCAAAACCTCATGAAGATAGAATGGTGCATGACAGACAAGAATTCAGAAGCTGCTGACGACGTATGAATGGGATTTGATTTGAAGACAATGCTGAAGTCCCTAACGCGCACAACTGAAACATATGGTCGGAAAATCCTGGACCATCATATTGGTAGGACCCAATTGATCCAGACATTGAGGCCTTCTGTTCGGGGTGAAAGCCTCGGCAAAATAATCATTATCCATGATTCAAATGAGACAATACCTGCACAGGAGCTATCCCAGTGGGCTTTCCAGTCGACGTAAAAACTATACCATGCACGCATATTATTAGGCTTCCTTAGGACTATGAGGCTTTTAGGCTTTCTTAAGAGTATGAGGCTTTAGACAAAGGAACCTGAGGTCAGGCGGTCGGGACTGTCTACGACTGGCAGTAGCCCTACAAGCAAGATACTGAATTCTGGCAAATATTAATTGAATTCAATCTTAAGAACTGGAAAGGGAAATGGAGTTTTTAAGTACGATTGTTGTGGGTTACAGTTCAAGCCCAATTTAAATATAGAAAAGGCCCGATAAATTTGAACAAGATATCACGTTATACGACTGTACAGTACCCACACAGCCAGCATGCAGACTCACCAATGTCTCTCCCTCTCTGTTTCTTTCTTCTTTTTTCCTTTTTCGATCTGGCTCTCCACTCTTTCAAATAGCAGTTTACCTCACATAATTTCATAAAACTTCTACAAGGCAACCTAAAATTTACGGAACAGTTGACCTTGTAGCCTAGACATCACCGCAACCTTGACATGGGATGTTCAAGCAACGGTTTGTGTACATGACGTTGGTATTGAGCAAGGTGTTGTTCCACCTCCAATCTTGCACGGTCTCCAGTCTCGATGCTTTAGCAGGAAATAATTACAAGTAAAAAACAATCCATAAGAACGCATCTGCGTCAGCCCTTAGCAACCATTGCCCAAATTTTTGAACCTTGAAAACCTCTACTCGTTTGCAGACTCCATAACCACTAACACACTATTTAATTAAACCTTGAAATAAAGCGTCCATGTATGAGGCCAAGGCCAACTAATCTTTGAGGTTACAGTAATTTCAGACTTTCAGTTGTGCTGGGTGCCACCATAGATTGTATGTATTTTATATCACCTGAAACTATACAAGTTGGAACCCAAAATGGGTATTGAAATGCCATCCCATTACCGGGAACCATCCAAGCAAAACACACAAAGACACGGATAAAAAGACAAAAACCAAGAATGCAAAGAAAACACAATCATTCTTAGAAGAAGAAAAAGGTGTCAATTCATGATAGCTAACCAATCATATTTTGAAGTTAGTTTCAAATTTCAGTGTACAGAATACAGAGTCATTACGCAATTAAAAAAAAAAAATCACCATTTCATAATGCATCACAGATTTGCACCAGATATCAGCAATATAACCAAACATGATGGCAGCAAAATCAAAACGAGAAACAGAGCATGTGACACGAACGAAACAATGGGTAGATTTGTAGTGAAATCTCCTACTACTAAGATAAGATAGAATGCATCGACAAACTTCACATGCTTCTTACAACCTCTTACCCCAGTAAAGAGTGCCAGTAGGAAAATTCTAACATAAGGGAAGTGTATGCAATTTTCATTCAATTACAAGCCAAGATGAGAAGCGAAGTTTAACAAAATATACACCTCTCTACTGCCCAATCCTCAACTGCACAATTTGACACTTCAAAAGCTGGCCACAATCCAACAGCAGAAGCCATGCAATTCTCCAAACTTCAGATTTCCACCCTTCTTCTGCTCCATTACATCGACTTAAAAAACCATTGATATTTTGAATTAGAGCCCAATAATTCACTCGCTTTACAATTAGTAACCCCAAATTTAAATTTCCAAGACCCAATCAAACTAATCCACTTACTACTCGCCTCCGGCACCGAAACTAAAGAAACTAAATTCCTAACAACTTCCTCTTCCCTCACCGCAATTCTCGCATCCCTAAACGGCTTCCAACACTTCTCCTTGGCAAACGCAAGGCACTTCTCTTTAGCCGCAACCAAACAACCTTGCATTTCGCGGTCCTCGCACCTTTCCCTCTCCTTCAAGTCTTCCAACTTCGCTCCTCCAATTAAATTGCGCCACCAGGGACGCTTACATCTGTTTGATGCGGTTATCGCGCACCCTAACATGGCACCTTCCTCGCATTGAGAGATTATTTTGGACTCGCAGGTTTTGTATGCAACAGCCCAGGATTGGGGGCTTGTGAAAGCCAGGACGTATGGACTGATTGATGGGTCGTCGGGTGGACCGGCGGGTATGGGGCCACGGAGAAGGGGGATTGGGCTGTCGAATTTGATTGTTGTTGTGGATGCCGAGTATTCGTCCAGATTTTGTGATATCGATGGGTTCATTTTTTAGGGTTCTTGTTTTAGTGTTGACGATTGATTGATTGATTTTGACTGGAAGAAGGAGAAGTAGAGAGAATGGTTCCCGAGACAGTGGATAGAACTGTAGCAGTGTGGCAGCAACTACTTTTCATCACAGGATGATAATGGATTGTAATTTTTAACTGTTTGGGAAAGAAGTACATAGAGGCGAAGGAACGAGACGAGTGAGGAATGGAAGTTCATGGGATTTTGGGATGAAAAAATTAATGGATGAGAAGTAAATAGGTTTATCTTTTTTTACATTAATTTGATTGTTATTATTATTACTGTTATTTTTAAATCGAGAGGAAGGCATTTTTGGATACTCAATCTCTGATTTCTTTTTTCTTTTCTTTTTTCCTGTTGTAATATCCAACCATTATTTCTAATAATTTGCTACTTGTTATAAAATAAATAAAAATAATAAGAGAATTGAATGAATGAAAGATAAAAAAATAAAATCATTATAATGTGAATATAAACGATAAAAACTTCAAAGTTTTTCTTATTCCCTCTACAATAGAAAACTTATACACTAATTAATAAATAATCAAGTCTATTTATAAGCTTTAAAATTGAGAAAAAAAATTGAAAAGAATCATGAATAATTAAAAATACATCAATTACATTTCTTATATTGAATGATGAATTGAATCACATTAAAAATTATAAATAATGATGATATGAAAAAAAATAAACGTTCATATAGACGTTCATTATTTCATAACACTACTTAACTTTTTATTTTTTATTTATTTATTTTGATATCCTATTTTACTTGAAATTGAATTTTGATAAATTATTCGATCAGAACCGTCATGTGACAGTAAAAAAATATCACTTAACGAGTTAATTTCAAACGCCTCAATACTCGAAGCTCTAAAATAACTGTTAACGTTCAAACAAAAAAAAAAAGATTAGAAATTGAAATAGTAAAAAAATTAAAAATTAGACAAAAAAAAAAAACAGTTTTTTAGGCATCAATCTAATTATTATTATTACTACTATTATTTTTAAATCCATTGTAAAAGTTTTTTCATCCCTTCCCATCGGGGACCTTTCCCTTCCTTATTTTTGGGCATGTATTCCAAATTAGTTGTCGTCCTAACAAAACATATCACTGGTAAAATTATTGTATTAAATGCTATTATTTTTATCAATATGATTTTTATATTAACTATTTTTTAATATGGATTACTATTTGTTAATTGACAAGAATAAATAAAACGGAAGTAATTTTATAGAAGGCTTGCTTAATTGTATCATTATGTCCCTTGGTCAGTACCAAATCCTACTAAAATATGTCAGTGAAAGAACTAAATTTCGCATTTGAATTGGTGGTCCCTCGCAATTTATTTTTATTTTTTTATTTCAAACTACCGTTCATAGAACTATTAAAGCACGCAATGAACACGTTATTTATCTTGTTTTCATCCGTTCCATGAATATGCGATAGACACACAAGTGAGTTGCTTGTGTTGGCCAAAAAAAAAAAAGAATTAATATCAGAAAAACATTTTTTTCGTAAAACACATACTTTGATTTTCTTAATTGGGTCACATTATATTACAATAGTCAATAAAATTTGCGGTAATAACCAGGAAACAATTAAACCTACATACTCACAATCTTCTTATAAAAACATATTAAAAACAACCTGTAAATTCAAGCATTGATTGAGCAAACTATATATATATATATATAGGATTAATTGAATTATTTTAATCTACACATCAAAAGGACCAAAGAAATCAACTCATCGGTCATTATATCTAACAACACAACTCGCAGCCCGATTCAAACCCAAAAAGAAAATATATGCCAGCCCATTTGGGCCGAAGTCGACCTTTTATGCAATTTGGGGCACCCCTGAAAAGCCCATAACCAGACAAATGGAACAACAAATATAAGAGAACGCTCGTGGACATCCTACTTGAGCCGGGCTTGTATGGCTTGGAGAAACGGTGGCTAAGGCAGAGCCGCTGGCATAACTAAGCTCTCACCTCTGGAACTAATAATGGCGGTGAGTAAAACGTAACTACAAATTTTATTATATTTTTACACATATATCTACCACAAAATGCAAAGTATCATTATCGTTTTTATTAATGACTAGTGCCACCATCACTACCAAAAAAGCCATATTTAAAAAAAATTTATAAAACATAAAATTTCATTCCAATTTTAAGCTATATTCTTTATCCAATATAAAATTAAAAGAAATAATTACATTATGAGTATCCTAATTTTTAATCTTTTCTCAATTAAGTATATAAATTTTAATTTTTTATTTAAATAAATAAATTTTTTAATTTTTCAATCATATATTTTTATTAATTTTTTCGTTAATCGATGACATGATCATTGCCTTCATCATTTTTTATAAGACATAGGTCGATCATTCTTGCAAATTAGTCAAATTTATTATGATTGAACCATTAATCCATGCTTGTAATCTCACAGTAGGCTTTGTTGGTCTTATCTTTCGCTATTTGATTAATTTATTTTTATTTGTTTTTTTGTTTGGTTTTAGAATCAATATTTTGTCCTTGTCCTTGTTCTTAAAGTATATTTGTAAAAAAAAAAATAAAAAAAATTGCCCTGTTTGTTTGAAGAATTATTGAATCAGACCAGTTATACAGGTAGTTTCAATTTTATTTTCAAATAATTTTTTATATTAATTTTATTCTTAAATTTTTAAAAATTTTCAACTAAAAACTTCCATTGTTTTTAAGGCTTTTCATCTATATATTCCATGCAAATTGTATTTTTTTCTTTCTATTTTTGTTGTCTACTAATACGTCCATATCTTATTTCTCTATTAAAAAAAATGTAAGTAATATTTCAAAATTAAATAATAATTTAATCTATCATTTAATTTTTAATCAACTATGCAAATGTAATTAGCAAAACTATTTCACTTTTTTTTTTAATAAACGACATCATTTTGTCGATAATTTAATTTATTTTTTTTATCAAGGGATTTAACCGAAGTAATCATAAGAAATCAAAATGCTTTAGGGATAAAATTGATATAAAAAATATTTTCAATGTAAAATTAATACTATCCCAATAATTTGACTTTTATTTTCCCTACTTAGAATGATGTGACTGTCTTTTCATAGATTTGAATTTTTCTAATAGATATAACTAGTTTTTTTTACCGAAGTTACGCTGCGGATCGGATATAACACATAAAATTATTTTAGTTTGATGTTCTATGTTATATTGTACATATGCCAAAATATATCAAATCAAAATGAAAAAAAAATTTAATTTTTTAAATTTTTAATCAAAATTTTAGATTTGACCGATTATTCTTTATATTTTTCATAAATTTTTGAAACATTATTTATTTATCTCTATCCACGAACTAAAAAATTTATAATAGTATAAAAAATGTAAAAATCAATGGATTCTTAGCTAAAAACTTTATAAATTATTTTTTAAAAACATTTTTTTGCCTTAAAATTTTTAATTAAAAAAACGAGAGAGAGAAAAAAAGAAAAGATCAAAGTGATCAAAATGAAACAAAAATACATGTGGACTAACAAAATAATCTTTAAAAAAAAAAAAGAATTAAAGTATAATGTCATGTAAACTTTTATAATAAATATCTTTAAAATATTTGAAAATTATAAAAATATCATTGTATAGAGAAAAAAATAATACATCTGAATTTTGATGAATAATCATAATGAGTCCGGATAAACAGTCTTTCAAATAATACAATAAATAGTAATTAATCATTTTATTTTAGTTTTTTTTGCTAATAGTAAAATTAGCATCAAGTGATTTTCTGCTCTCCTTTTTTTTTACATGAATGCTCTCGGTAACTTTCCATACATTTCACCAAGAGATATATGATGCATACAGTATCGATGTGTTCTCCATACTGAAGCTACTGTGTGTATTTGATTATTTATAGTTTTTTTTTTTTTGTAAAAAAAAAAAAAGAATGAAAATGAACAAGATATGAATGAAGTGGTTTGTTTATTTATAAAACAATCAGAAAGCCATCATCATCATCATTGCAAATTCCTCATAACTAACTAGATCATCACCGTCCAAATCAGCCTCTCTTATCATCTGTTCAGCCTCTCTTATCATCTGTTCAGCCTCTTCCTTTGTCAATCTCTGTCCCAAATATATCATCATCCCTTGTCGTAGCTGTAAATTACCAACAATGTGTGAACTGACTATGCAATTGTAGATGAAGCTTAGAGAAATCCAAAGTAGTTTTTTATTTCACCAAAAAAATTAAAATTGGCTATTTGAAAGTAAAGATCAAAATAGATTTAGACTAAGAATATCCAAAAGACATGAGCAATGATCTTCACCTCATTGACTGAAATATATCCGTCTTGATTCATGTCAAAAACTTTGAAAGCTTGTTTTAGTTCGTCAGTAACATTTTTCTGCGAGAATTGCATAGACATAAGACATACATCCCATAGTCTCAGAAAAAATAATGATCATTTGCATACAAAAGCACCTATCTATATTCCTTTCATTTTGTTAATTACCTTCTGCTTTTTACCCATGTCATTCAAGAATTCTTCAAAATCTAATGTCCCATTTCCATCCTGATCAGCTTCACATACCATGTCTTGAACATGCCGATCCTTTGGGGATGAAGTCGTCCTCGTAGGCAACTTGAGAAAACCTCCCGCAAATCCCTTAATCTGGCAGATGGAAGAAGAAACACGAGAGAACACTCTTGAAGTCCTGCGCGAGCCGAACTTGTGTGATCTCAGAGGAGAAGTGGCAAGGGAAGACTGGCCAGGGGTGGGCCGAGATGGCATTGGTTAGTTGAATAACCGTTCAAGTTTATGAAGATCTTACTGTCATTGTTGATGTAACGGTATTTTCTTCTTTTTATAAGTAAATTGTAACCAGATTCATGGATGGTCGGCTTGCTAGGAAAGAAAGGCGGGCAATGAGAATGTAACTGACTTCCATTCCCATCTTTAGGTATTTAGGGGATAAGAAGGAAAATAATATACAAATAAAATTTTGACTTAATAGTTTTGTTTAAAGAAATACTAGTTTGTAAAAATTCATAAGAAAAAAGTAATTTACCTTAGCCCCCTTAATACCAGATTCTAACTCCGCTCCTGGTTAGAGCCATAACTTCCTAAAAAATATAATCATTACTTTTAAAAGTTAGAATATCAACATATAAAGACCGTGTATATATTACTTTAACATGATATACATGTCTGTTCGAATTTGACTAAAATTTATTGTTTTTCTAAATAAATACTAAAGTAGACAATGCAATAATAATTAAAAAAAAATCAAAAATTAAGGTTAATATATTCATATGTCTTTATATAATATTTAAAGTCTTTCATTTGTTCCTAAAAAATTTTAAAATGTTTAATCTGTCTTTCTAATAAATCTTTTTGACCATATAAATTTTTTTTTTTTACAAAAATGCTCTTTGCTAAAAAAAAATTAAAGTCACAATACCTAGATGTTTCATTTTTGAAGTCTTTTAATTTTTATTTTTTTTGCGCACTTAAATTAGGGGCATTTTGGTTAAAAAAAAACATTTGGTCGAAAAAATTGATCAAAATGACAGATTTAACATTTCAAATATTTTCAAAGACAAATGAAATGCAATTAAAAACCTAAAAACACATCAAGAACTTTACGTATTATATAAGGACAAATAAATATATTTACTTAAAAAATTATTTATTGAACCGAGAATCTATACATAAAAACTCGTGAGAGGCTTCTAGTCAAATTAATCTTCTACACTTTGATTAACATTTTTTATTTTTTTTCCTTGTTTGTTTTTTAGAATAGACTAGCCATTTACCGCGCTATGCTGCATGCTAGGCAAAAAAATAATTTTATAATTTTTTATTTAATGATTTTTTTATGTTTTTCATAAATTTTCTACTTAAGAAAATATGATTTATTTTTCTTTATACATTGATTTTCAAAATAAAACCCACTAATAATTTGAACCGACATATTTATCAAAAATTTTAAAAGTACTTTAAAAATATATTTTCATAAGAATATATTAGAAAATATAAAATTACAATCAACATATAATGTCGTTATCCGACATCTAATGGGACCTCCCGAAAATTTAAGATTTGAATCGCATTTATGATTTATCATAAGGACACGAGTTATTATTGAGTTTGGAGTCACCACCAAGTATTGAAAAAATTGAGAACCTAAAAATAATGCTTGGTGCATAAATATAAATCACTTAAAAACGTCATTTCTTAAGAAAAGTACCATGTTTAGTTTAGTTTAGTTTTAAAATTCATCCCTTAAGGTATCTTATTTGTGCCCAAATTATTTTTGATTTAAACTTCAATTTTCCATGCCAAATCAAAATTTTTATTTTTTAGCGTGATATCGGATTGAAATGATCGTCGAACTCCTTGGTCGGAAGACACGTCGGTTCAAATATTATATCCATTTTAAGTCACGACATAGCCGATGTGTCGGAGAATATCTTGATTACTAAATTATGATGATTTTGTTGCTAACAATAGTTCCCATCGGATAAGAGACTTTGTTAAAAATGTTGATTAATTTTCGTTTATTCTTGTTATCAACAATTCCTATCATATAATAGATTTTATTTTCATTTTCTCCTTTTGTTGTTAGTGACAGTTCATATCAAATAAAAGACTTCGTTATGAATTTTATTATATTTTTTATCAACGACAGTCTTTATCGGATATGAGACTTTGTTAAGAATTTTAATTAATTTTTTATTATTTTCTTTGTCAATGATAATCCCTATTAAATATGATACTTTGTTTAAAAATTTAATCAATTTTATTATTTTTTGTCGATGGGGAATCGTTATCGGTTCTTAAGAATTAGAAGACTCAACAATTCGTTCACCTATTAATTATCTAAACTAATTATGAAACAAAATCCTAAAATTAAAATTAATTAATATGCCTTCTTTTTTTGTTTATCATTTTTATTTTTTGTTGTTTTTTCAATGGAGGATTGTCATCGGTTTCTAAAGATTAAGAGAATCGAAAATTCATCCACCTATTAATTATCTAAACTAATCATTGAAACAAAATTTTAAAATTAAAATTAACTAAAATAATTTCTAAGAGATGTAGAATATTAAATCTAAATTAAAAAGAAAATAAACAAACAGAAATAAAAACATTCAGGATAAATTTATTTTAAAAATGAAATTAAAGCATTTGAGTAATTTTTTTTGTTAGTTGACCATCGGCCTATTGGGCTAGGCCTACTGAATTGGACTGGAATCTGTCTAGTCCAAAATTTCCTTCCTTTTTGGGGGCATGGACAACCCAATTTTCCTCTCTCTCTCCTCTCTTTCTTTTTCCAGGTTGGACAGACCAATTTTTCATGGGTTTGGCTTGGCCCAAAAACACCCCCAAAACCACTTTCCCAACTAATTTTGGATCAAACTTCCTTCTTCTTTTTTTTGGTTTTTTTTTTTTTTTTTGCCTCTCTCCTGATTTCACTCTCCTCTCTTCTCTACCTTTCTTATTCTTCCTCTCTCTCTGCCCCCATCTCCATGGTCGAACCAGAAACTTCTGGTTCGTCCCTCTATCTCTTCTCTTTCTCTCCTGACTGAACCTCCCGAAAAACATCCTCCTTCACATAGGCAAACCCATCACCAAGCCACTAAGGCCTCATCCTCTACTGCCAAGCCTGATGACACCAGCCATAAACCCTACTAAAACCCATCGTTTTTACCCATAAAACCTTCTCCCTCTTAGTGCCAGTGAAACCCCACCAAGCCACCTACCTCTTCACAACCATAAAGCTAGCTACCTCTTATAGACAAAAACACAAATACCTAGCATGCATACCTCCCAAAAGTATTATCCATTGCCATTTCTATTGTCATAGCCTCCAATTGCCAAAGCCCTAGTCAAACACAAACACCACTAGACCTCCAGTAATACCGCTCACGTTACAACCATAGAAAAAGCTCTCTCTTCACCTGAGCAGCCCTCACAACCACCGAACCTCCTTCATCCTTGCAAACTCTGACCTGAAAAAAAATTATAAAGAACTTGATGTTGTTCCCTTATCTTAGCCCACCGAACCTGCTACATCCGACACCCACAAAGCCCACAAATCTAAACTGACCAAATCCCTGTTAGGAATTTGATTGAAGCTGGCAGCAACGAATATGTCATGGGTGTTGATGAAGACAAAAGATGCATTGGCTTATCACTTTGGCTAGGAGAAGGGTCAAGGAATAAGATGCTCACGCCTACGAGGAGAGAGTTTGAAAACCGAACAGAAGGAGAGGATGGAGAAGAAGCTGCGGGATCTCGGGCGATTTCGAAAGAAATGGAAGAGGCAGCGAGGAATGAGAGGCATTGTTTATGACTTTTGTTTAATTTACGGCTGGCTTGAAAGCCGTACATGGTATCCGTTTTGGTCTTTTGGTTAAGAAAAAATTAAAAGGGTGGGGGAGGGGCTGGACAACTCCAGCCCGTGAGGAAGGTGGGACAAGTCTAGCCCTTGAGAAAGCCAAGGCTTGGGCTGGTTTTAGCCCAACCCAAGCCCACCAAGAAAAAGAGAGAGGAAAGGCTGGCCAGCGGCCCACTCACAAACAAGCCTAATGTTTGTTAATTTCAATTTTTTATTATTTTATTTTAGGTAAATTTATTTTGAATACCTTTATTTATGTATGTTTATGCCCTGATTAACTTAGATTTCAATACTTTAAATCTCTTGAAATTTATTTTAGTTAATTTTAGTTAATTATAATTTTAAAATTTTATTTTCATAATTAGTTTAGATAACCAAATAGTGAATGAATGGTCAAGTCTTTTAATTTTTAAAGACTAATGATGATTTTCTATTGACAATAAAACAATAAATGATAAAAAAGAAGGCATGTTTTAATTTTGAACTTTTCAGTAATTAGGATAAGTAATTAATGGATGATCGAATTGTCAAGTCTCCTAATTTTTTAGAACTGGTGATGATTCCCTATCTAAAGAAAAAAAAATTAATTTTACAATTTTGTTTCAAAATTTAATTTAGTAATTAATAGGTGAACGAACCATCGATTCTCCTAATTTGAGAGACCGATGATGGATCCCATCGATAAAAAAAATTAATTAAAATTTTTAACGAAATTTTCTATCCGATAGGGATCGATGTTAACAAAAAAAAATTACTAATAAATTTTTTAATAAAGTCTCCTATCCGATAGGAATTATTGTTAGTTTAAAAAATATCATCATCATTTAATAATCAAGATGTTATTTCACACACTTGGTTGTGTCGAGGTTTAAAGTAGATCCGATAGTTGAATTGATGTATCTCCCGACAAAGGGGTGTGATGATCGTTTCAACACGACCACACTAAAAAATAAATAACGTAATTTGACTTAAAAAATTGAAGTTTAAATCGAAAATAATTCGGTACAAATAAGATAGTTCAAGAGATTAATTTCATGACTAAACTATACGTGGTATTTTTTTTAGAAATGACGCTTTTGGATAGTCGATATCTTTATAAAAGTATATTCAACTCTTTATTCTAAAATCTTTACACCATTGTTATTCTTAAGTTTCTAATTTTTTCAATACTAGGTGACGATTTCAAACTCAATAATAACTCACATTCCCGAATACCTCATGAATGTGATAAATCTTAAATTTTTAGGGAGTCTCGTCCGATGTTAAGTAGCGACATATAGATTTGTATAAAAATTAACTAAAAAAAAATTATTCTTATTTAATGCTGATGAGAAGATTAATTTTTAAAAATATACATTTGATTTATATGTATTTACTTACAAAATAATCAATAATATTAACATAAAGAACTATATTTGAATAATTGATCAATTTCTTTAAAAAACTATTTTAATCATTTATTTCAAATAAATTGATTCTCTAATATTAAAAAAATAAATCATAGCAAATAATTGGTGTTATGTGTAAAAATGTATAGTTAATTTTTAATAAAACTCATGATTCGATAGTTTTTTAATATGTGCTAACCATACCTAATTGATTGAAACAAATTATATATTTATATACATGCAACTATAATTTAAAATTCTAAGAATTCATGATATATACTATATCAATTTATTTTCTTTAAAAAAACAACTATGTTTTAAAATTTTATTCTAAAATTCAAATTTAGAGAAAAATTAATCATATTTATTAGTAAATAAATTTTATATACAAAAAATATTAATTGGATGAGAATTTTAAGAAAAAAATGACAAATTCAAAAAATTAACTTTAAACAATAAGAGTAATATAACTTGAGATATATGTTAATTTTAAAATATAGAAAGATAGTATGTATATTTTATCCTTGCTACGCTGCATGAAAAATGCAAATAACAATGCTTGATGTTTCATAATTTTTTTACTAAAAATTCTTAATTAAAAAAAAAAGAAAAAAAAAACCCAAAGATCGAGTTGCGTGCACACGGGTTGAAAAAATAAATAAATTGATTGATTGTATTTTCTTGCGATCTTTGCAATTTTTTACGATCTCGATTTCATCGGAAAGTCATATTTTATTATTTTCAACCTCTAAAAACCAATTCAATCTTTGTTGTCAAAAAACACGTAAAAATCACAAAAATAGCTTAATCAAGCATGTCTATTACCTCAAAACTCATTTTTATTCACACAAAAAATGCAAATCAAAATAATAAAAAAACTCAAAATATTGTTGAATCTTGATCTAATTCCTCCGATAATTTCATCGCTTTTTACCACTACAAATAGATTCTACTATTTGAGGCAAACAAAATGGTGAGAAAATCAAGCGATAGGGTGATCAAAATGGGCTTCGCCATCTGTCTCTCTCTCTCCTCATTTCTCTTACCTTTTACTATGCAAGGACCACAATGAACCAAACATGAATTTGTGGATCAAAAAACAATATTGAAAAATAAGAGATCAAAGTGCATGTTTTTAGACAAATAGTTTAAGTATACATTGAAGGAATTGTGAAATGTGAGAGTGAAAAGTTCAAAAAAAAAAAAAAAGTGAAATATTAAGGGTGCGCATTATCTCAATAGTGTATCTACATTGAATTATGGTTTTGTTTTAGTATTATTTATTTCTCTCTTCTCTTAGTATACAAAGACAAAAATGAACAAAAAATGAACTTTCAGATCAAAAAACAATATTAAAAAATAAAAGACCAAAATGCATATTTTCGAATAAACAGTGTAAATACACCATGGACGAACAATGAAGCATAAAAGAGTAAACAGTAAAAAGTGAAATGTGACGGGCTGTACAGTATCTCTACATTGCATCTCCAATGAATTATGATTTTGTTTAAGTATTATTAGCAATAAGTAATATTAATATTTTTGGTCCTATATCTTAAAAAAAAGCCTTTGCTCTGTTTGTTTCGAGAATCACTCCTTTTTATTTCTCCTAGCACAATCCATGCCTATCATCCTTTCATTTTCACTATTCAGATTGATGCAACTGTTTTTTTCAGAGATTTGAGCTTTTCTAATGGATTTGATAGGAAAATTAGCATTCAGTCATTTTCTGCTCTCATTTATTACATTTGATCAAGAGATACATGAAGGGTTTGTTCTCCAAACCAAAGCTACTATGCATATTTGATTATTTGTATATATATTTTTAATGTAATCTGCACTATTACAATAATAATAACAAGGACAATGGCTGATAAAAATGCTCAAGACATGAACATGATAGTTTGTTCATTTATAAATCAATTAGAAAGCCACCATCATCATCCTTGCAAATTCCTCATAACTAACTAGACCATCACCGTCCAAATCAGCCTCTCTTATCATCTGTCCAGCCTCTTCCTCTGTCAGTCTCTCTCCCAAATGTATCATCACTTGTCTTAGCTGCAAATCACCAACAGCGAGTGAACTGACTAGATAAATTTGACTATGCAGTTGCACATGAAACTTAGAGAAATCCAATGTAGTTTTTTCTTTTACAAAAAAAATTGGTGACTAGAAAAGTAAGGATTCTTCAAAATAGACTTAGACTAAGAATATTGAAAAAACATGAGCAAAGATCTTCACCTCTATGGCTGAAATATATCCGTCTTGGTTCCTATCAAAAACTTTGAAAGCTTCTTTTAGTTCCTCAGTAACATTTTCCTGCAAGAATTAAATATGCATTAATACCACAGTCTCAGAGAAAATGATGAGCATTTACATATAAAAGCACCTATCGAAGTTCCTTTTATATTAATTGTTAATTACCTTCTGCTTTCTCCCCATGACATGCAAGAATTCTTCAAAATCCACTGTCCCATTTCCATCAAGATCAACTTCACATATCATGTCTTGAATTTCTTCCTTTGTAGGACGTCTGTCCAATGATTGGACAATGGTTGCCAGCTCTTCCATTGTGATGAAACCTATATGTCACAAATGACTTCAGATTTATAATGATTTTTTTTTAAAAAAAATATCAGTTTCAAATTGAACCCGGACTAAAGTACTAAATGAACTCTATTTATGAGCATAATCCTTAACATGAAAAAATCTTGCTACCAATTGTCTAAAAATACTCGCTTATTGGATCAAGGTTTTGAAGAACACAAAAAAAACATAAAATAAATAAAAGTGTAGAAGGACTCACCATCTGCGTCCTTGTCGATCAAGCAAAAAGCCTCTCGGAACTCAGCAACCTGTTCTTCGGTCAGTGCATCTGCCATTTTTTTTAAATTAAGATTTTGAAAAAAAAACTCTCTTGTTTTGCTGGTAGATGGAAAAAAATGAGTAACAATGGAAGAAATGTATGTGGGAGCTTAAGCTCTAGGTATGAAAGCATCCATATAAAAAGAAGGCCAGAAATTTAAAAATTATTCACGGGAGGGAGCAGATTGAATTAGTCAAAACACGCTTTGATCAATGAATTCCATTCAAAGCTAGAAGAAATCTAGAAGTGACTCTTAAATCAACGCTTGAATGGGTAAAATCTGAATGCCACTTCGTAGTCTACAGGGCGTGGCTACGAACCCTTTAGAAGTCAGCTACACCATGACCTTTTTTGCCCTTTGCACGTCATTTCTGTGAATCCTCTTGTTCTATTCAAAATACTACAACAGTTGAAAATTAATTAAATTGTTAGACACTAGCAGAAGTTAAGAGTTAGTATTTAATCTTTTCAAAAGTTGTTGGCACGAACCTTTAATTCATCAAAAGAAGAACGCCACTGCGGGACCGAGTCTGACGTATAGATAATGCACCTGTAGGCAACACTCAAGCAAAGGGATTTGGAACTTTCAAGACATGAGCGTAGTGAATTGTTTTTTTTTTTTCCAGGATAAAATTGTTTTAGGACTAACTTCTATGTTAATCATAATTAATTTTTGTTAACGATTTTAACAGTGCCTCTTAACATAGACCTAATGTATGTAGAGGGAATAAATTTTTATAAACTCCAACCTTAAAGATTTGAACCTCCTTGTTTTAGATTGATAATTTGAACGGTGAAAATTTTGAAATATAATATTGTTATTTGTTTATAAATTGTAAATTAATGTATAGTATTAAAAAACTATCTTAATCTAAAATTTTAAACTATTAAGTGAGATCCTATAAATGATTATTAAAAAAAATAAAAAATATCTTATTGATAATTATTAAAAAAAAGTAGAGATAGTGAAATTAATTTTTATTATTAAAACTATGATACGAGCGTTAAAAATCATATTAATTCAAAAACTTAAATCATTAAGTAAGACCTTAAGAATGATATAACTGTGCTCTATAATAGGAACTGTATCCCTAATTAGGCAAGCGCGCTCGGCTAAAGCAGCAGACGCACATTTCTCGCTCGTCGAATCACGGTAGCGGCCGCCGTTTTCCTGTTCTCGCGCGCTGAGTTAACTTAAGCACGTAATTAAGGTAAACGTCGAAAAGACATCTCACTCTAAAATCTTTTACTAATCTCCTTGATTTATACTTTCTTTCAAGAAATTCTAGGATTTTAATTAATTAATTCTTGTTCCATATGCACGTTCGATCAATTTAAAGTGGAAACAAGCTTGATTCTATTATTTTTAAAGGCTGCATTCAAACAATTGGGGTTTAGGGTTTTGCGATTTCTGTTTTAATGGAGGATTACATTTCTAAATTAAATGCTAATCTTGAGCTGTTGTTTAGTGTGGAAAGATGAGCAAGAAAAAGAACCCTCTCGTATTTTTAGATGTATCCATTGATGGAGATCCTACCGAAAGAATTATTATCGAGGTAATGCAGTTTTTAACCTTCTTTATTGGAAGGAAACTGAAGTTTGTTTTTTCAGTATCAAGATAACGATAGAACCTGTTTCTTTTATGTGGACAGCTTTTTGCAGATGTTGTTCCCAAGACTGCCGAAAACTTTCGGTCACTCTGTACAGGTATCTCTCTCGCATTCTTACTATTAACTATTGCCTGTAATTTATTGATGGGATCTAGTGGTTTGTACAATTGTGTTTTAGGCGGTGTGAATCTCCATTTGAAACATGCAAGTTGTTGACAAAAATTTGAATCATTGATCAAATGTTTGCATATTGTTCGTGTATAACCATTTAGTGTTCCTGCCAAGAATGAATAGTCTGGTTTTAGTTTGTGATCTGCTAAGTTCTCAAAGCTTATTTTGATTCTTCATATCGTATTCCACTTCCAAAATGATTTTCTGCTGGATTAAAGATTATATACCTTGATCTTCTATCTGTTGTGGCCTGAATTAGCTACTCTCTAAGCAACAGTTTCAGAATGCCTCCTGCAAGTACGCTTTATTTAAATTTTGATAGGCAGTTCACTCGTAACAATCTAAGACGACCTGCATAGTTTTGATGGATGTTCTTGGGTAGGACAAGGGACAAAGGACTAGGATGTGAGTCGTGGAACCACATTCTGCTGGTTAAACTGAATTCTTGAAACGATGCCTTGTTTCACAATTGACATAATGGTTACTAAAATGTTCACTAGACTGTAGGAATGCGTCACTAACTTCTAATTACTACACATTTCTGGACTCTGGAGAGTGATTTGCATTCAAAAGGATCAGAAACAAGAAATTTTCTGTTATCAATTGGAAGACCAACTCCATGAGTATGCTGTAGTTAAAGTTCTCTGGGTTTCTAACATATTTGAATGGAAGTTTGCACCATAATGTCACTTCATACCTGGTTAAGAGAACTGAAAAGTCAAATGTAGAGAAGAGCTTATGCTATTGCTGGGATCAAGTGGCTGACATAGTGTTTCTGAATTAATAGGAAGTGCGTCGGAAATTGCTTTGCTTGCTTTCCTTTGTACTGTGTAAGAATGTATCGCCTGGTCAAACTGGTTCACCTGATTGATCTACGATCCCTGATAGTTAAGTGAACAAGCAGAAAAAGATGAATAATCATTTGAAATTTTGATTAGAGTACCTGAGGATGTCATACCCCCTCCATGAGGGAGAGGATACAACTGAAAAAGATGATTCTCATTAGCATTTGTGCTTCCTTTCAGCATGAAATTTCTTATCAAAAAAAAAAAAAAAAATCCTGGCCGCAACTGGTCAGCTTCAGTGGTAGTAGACGCCTATATTTCTTGTTAGTTCTGCCACATCAAAAAGATGTTTTCAATCTGTTATTATAAGTCTGTAATTTAATTTGGATATCATCCTCCTTTTTTTGTTGGCATGAGAAATCCGTTGCCTAGTTTCTCATAATAAATACTTGAAGGAATTTCACATCTTTGTCTAGTCAACATGTTTGAAGGCGTTGCCTTTTATTTTCACTAGCAGTGGTAGATTTTACTTATATTTCTTGTCCATTGTAGGCGAAAAGGGCATTGGAAAAACCACTGGGAAACCTCTGCACTACAAGGGCTCTTATTTCCATCGAATAATCAAAGAATTCATGGCCCAAGTATGTTGTTTTTTCCTTTGTCAATAATTGTTGCCATGAGATCTCATGATGCTTCTCTTTCAATTATAAATAGTTTGTTGCAAATTTATAAACACTGTCAAGCTATTGGCAAAAGCTACCTGGTTCCTTTCTCTACCTGATTTCCAATTTTCATATTTTTCTGAAAAGACAAGTTTTTTTCTCTGTGCACATGTACTTGAATCTGAATGTTATGGACACCATAGGATTTCTTGTCCATAAACCAATCTCATTAAACTTTGATAATAGCCATTAATTTTCAGGAAATCATTTTTGGTGCGGAACTTACTGATTGCCATTGTTGATGAATTAAATAATCGATGCATGCTTCTGATTGTGTTAATAATACTGGTAGATAATAAACTCTGGTATTTGACCTATTGTCAATGTTTTTTCTTCTATCTGACATGTTCTTAAAGATTACATATCTACATATATTTCTTGGCTGGTATATTTTTAACACCATCTTTGATTTCTCATTATGAAAATATGATCCATCAACTTACGGATAAACTTCTACATTTAGTAGATGCCATTTAGCTGTATCCTGGTTTCTTGATTGTGCAAAGAACTAGTATGTCTAATTTGTAATATGTTGTTTCTATGAGATCAAAGTTTTGCACAACTATTTAACTTCAGCTATTGTTTGGGAGATGGCGATAGCATAGCACATCGAATTATACAGATCAAAAGTTATTGGAATTAGAGGGCAGCTTCTTTCTTTGCAGTGGGGTTGGAGGAGGAAGCAAGTTATTTAAGTTCTTGTCAATCTAAAATAAACGTATATATGATCAATAGCAAATTGTTGAATCTCTTTTCTTGTCCTGACAGGGTGGTGACTTTTCGAAGGGAAATGGTACACTTTTTGACTCCATAAGTTCTCTGTCCTGCTAATGAATCCTGTTTCTCTGTTTGACTTCCATACTCTCGGCCAGACTAGTAAGGTTCGACGTTTAATTGGTTTGCAGGCTCTGGTGGAGAAAGCATCTATGGAGGGAAGTTTGCAGGTAATCTTCTATGTTTAATCATCTGTGTGCTTGCAACCATGGATTTCTCTAATCATTATCCATAAAAAATTGATACTCTTGTTTTGTAGATGAGAACTTTATACTGAGGCATGAAGGAGCAGGTCTTCTCTCTATGGCAAACAGCGGTCCAAACACAAATGGTTCCCAATTCTTCATAACCTTTAAGCCTCAGGCCCATCTCGACGGGTATTTGATCTTCACTTGTTCTGCTCATTTCTTTTGCTCTTATTACTTATTTACCCATCAGCCCTCAAATCTTTCTCCTTTCATTGATACTTTCATGATCTCATAAAGCTTTTTTTTTCTTTTTCCAAATAACGGCTCTTAAAAACAATGCTCAAATTGTTAGTTTTCCATTTTCTGATGTATGGCAGGAAACATGTTGTCTTTGGAAAAGTGATTAAGGGAATGGACATTGTGAAGAAAATGGAACAGGCAGGAAGTGGCCGTGGCCAACCTGTCGGACCTGTAAAAATTGTGGATTGTGGTGAAACTTCTGAAAGTAAAATTGAGGATGCTGCTGGGAAAGATACAGGTAAAACTTTGGTGGTTGTTGCATTTGTTTCTGGAACATGCTTGCCAAACTTTCAATACATTTATTATATGATATTACTTTCTCTCAGGAAAGCATAAGAAAGCTGGGAAGCCTTCAGATGATGGTCCTTATGAGCAAGTTAGAGGAAAAAGTAAAAAATCCCTGAAGGATCCAAGGAAGAAAAGAAAAAGGAGATACTCTCCATCTGATTCTGATTCGTTCTCATCTGATTCTGAAACATCATCTTCATCTGATTCCGAAACCTCATATTCAGAATCAGATTCTGATTCAAGCTCCTCTAGTGATGGAAGGCGTAAGAAAAAGAAGAGGTCGGCAAAAAGAGATAAATATGAGCATGGGAGAAAACAGAAGTATGGACGAAGGGAGAGGAAGAGAGGCCGACGTGATAAGCGATCAAGGCGGAAGTCTAAATGGTCAGGTTTATATTCAGTTGAAGTGCAACCTCATTAATGACTCTTTCCCCCTTGTATTCTCACGTACTTCGCAATGGTGTAAATTGTACATAATGGTCTTGTTTCAGGAGTTCTGAGAGCTCAAGTGATACAGAGACAGATAGTTCTAGCACTACCAGCAGTTCTGATGATAAAATTCCTGTTTCTGCTCGTAAGACCAGTAAGTCAACTCAGTCTGGAAAGAAATCAATTCAGATTCCAGGTATGCGTTTTCCTTTTATTTCTACAAGTTACGATCTCCATTATCTCTTTACATGATGTTCTTCCTTGCTTAAATGCTTGTAAAACAGCAGGACTTCAAATGGATTGCATTGAAATTTTTGACAGTGGTGCTGCAGATTTTAACTTAGTGCTGATTGATATTGCAGGTGCAGGTGGAAAATCCTCGACCCATCTCTCTGCGAAAGAAGCTGTGGTGGAACGACAGCAAAGGTATGAAAAGCCCAAGACAGCCAGCTCATCACATGAAGAAGGTGAATTGTCTCCCAAGAATGACAAACATCTAAATAATGGCAATGGGATGGATTCTAAATTGGGCACAAGTCCTAATCGGCATTCCTATTCGGATGACTCAAACAAATCCAGGTGTCTGCTTTTACATGTTTGTGCTTTTTTTGTCCTCATACATTCTCATTGAAGTTTAGAACTTACTGTAATTGCACATTCTTACAGGAGAGCAATGCCAAGCTCCAAAAATAGGCCAAACAATAGCCGCCGGAGTAGTCCTAGCATGAGTCCTGAAGAAGTTCTCAGGAGTCCAAGATTCAGAACCGACAGTAGAAGTCCAGTTAGGAAGTCTGGGGAGTTGAACAAGGGAAGGTTGTCAAGGAGTCCACTGGGTAGTCCTGCCAATAAAGGCCACCATGAATCTTCCACGTCAAACCAGACTCAATCCCCAAATGGTGCGCCCAAGCGCATTAGAAAAGGGCGTGGCTTCACTGATCGTTATGCATTTGCACGTCGGTATCGCACCCCTTCTCCCGAACGATCCCCTCAGAGGTTCTACAATTATGTCGGAAGAAATATCAATGGGAGGAACCGTGACAGGTAAGCTCCATGCCTAAATTACATTTGAAGGTCTTCCATCATGTGAATATAATTCAATTTTGCATCCCCTTCCCCAACCCCCCCTTTTGTCTGAAGGTTGTCAAGCTACAGAAGTTATTCTGAGCGCTCTCCACCAAGACGTTACAGAAGTCCCCCAAGAGGCAGGAGCCCCCCTAGGTTCTCTCACTCTCTCTTTCTCTCTCACACAAAAAGCTAAAATATCTGTCATGCATGAGATATGGCTAGGCTGTATTTCACGCTTTGTTTTTTTCTCCTGATACTTAATTGTTTATATTTTAATATAGAAAGGCCTGTAAAATCTTGCAAAGTCTTTATCTTGCAAAGTCTTTCTTCTTTCACCAGTATACTGCCGATTTGGCAGGATGAAGGAGGTTCCAATAAAATGGTGATTCAATGGAAGCATGAAATATTTTAAATGTTAGCAGAGTAATCTTTTATTTTCTGCATCAAGTAACCAAACTGTGGCTAACTCTGGATCCAACACATCCAATTTACTTACCAAGCATATTATGTAAGAAGCTGATGTATGAATATGATGCCAGTGGTCAGACAGCTCCATTCAATGCTATATTCATTGACTTGGTTTCCTGGCGTTTATGTTGGTTTATTTTTGCAGTCGGAGGCACTAGATGCATGAGATTTAATCAGGCACTTGATTTTTCACAGGTATGGAAGGCAGAGAAGTAGAAGCAGGAGCGTATCTCACAGTCCAGGCAGTTATCATGGCCGTTACAGGGACCAGAACCGGAGCCGGAGTCCAAAACGTAGTCCTACACCTAGAGATAAGCGACCTTCCATAAGTGAGGGTTTGAAATCTCGTTTAGGTCCCCGTGTTGATGATCGGCCTTTTCCTAACAAAGGGAGGCCGAGATCTAGGTCCAGTTCCAGGAGCCGTGGATCCTCTCTTTCTAGATCTCCCGATGCTGTACCCCCAAAACGTCAAGGCAGAGCAGCTAGGGCTAGCAGGTCTAGGTCGAGCTCACCATCTGGACAGCAAGGGTTAGTTTCCTATGGGGACGCCAGTCCTGATACTGAAATAAGGTAGCCTTGAGAGGGAGTACGCTAATCTAAGCTAGCAAGTCATGCTTAGTAGATTGGGACGTATACCAAACATTTCTGCCGATGAATGCTGTGCCTCTGGGGCCATTTGAACGTTCGTATGTTTCTTTCTAGGTCTCCATTTGAATATGTGGCTTCAGCAATTTTTTTGTGTTTCTGATACATGTACGACTCTTTTGCCCTTAATAGTCATTTCAATTTCAAGAACATGTGGAAGTTAATCTTAAAAAAAAAAAAAACAAAAAAGGACTTTGTTGACTGTTATAAGATGCCTCTATCACCCAATAGGGATTTACATCTATTTTTCTATAGAATAAGGTAACAATCTTATGATTCATTAATATCGCAAGTATTTATTCATGCCGTGCGAATTGCATGGAGGGGCAGAGAAACTGGGGATTGGTACGAATGTTTACTCGAAAACTTGAGTGGTTATTTTTGCTTAAATCACTTGTCAGGCGCTCTTCATAGGACAGTATGCCAAAGCACGAATATTCGCTCTGTCTCTCTCTCTCTCTCTCTCTCGTTTTTTTGTCCTGGGAAAGAATTTGTTCTGTTTTGAGACGTTCGCAGTCATATGAATTGCCATTGCCATATAATCAGTGAAATATACCAATCGCTTATCTTTTAAGCATATTGGGTTTCGTCCTATTTATTGGGAGGGAACTCCACATACTATCAACCCTAAAATGCCTTTTTAAAATCATCAATACTTGTTAAAGAGAACTGAAGATGAAGGAGAAATGTCACGAATAATTTGCGGGAATTTAAATAAAAAACTCACTCAAGTTTAATACACAGCTAGGGTTGGATATGGTAGCATGCCTATGACTTAGGTGACTTCATTCTAGAAACTCGAGGCTGCGCAGCAGCACTGTTATATAAAAACTAAAAAACAAGGGAACTCAAGGACCACGAGCAGCTCTAACCTCTCTCTTAGATTGGCCGTCCTTTGGGTACAATTTGATCTTTGAGCCACATATAGATGGGAACCAACACAAAGTACGTTGCTGCCAAGGCACCCAAAATGAAGCGCAGAAAGAACACAAATGGGTTTACAGGCTTTGACACATCCTCTGCCTTTGGGCCAAGCTGTGGTCAAAGAAAAGAAAAATATTGCAAAGGTGAAAAATAAGATTCGTATAGAAGCCAAGAATCACTTCAAGAATTTCCCAAAATCTAAGATCTGCAAATATGTATAACATAAAGCAGAAGTAGAAGAACGCATATTTTTCAAATAGATTGTCAATCTCAATTGTTCCAAAAGCATTAGTTTCATGGCAAGAAATTTTAAAATACTCTAGAAATAACTATGAATGCTTATTCAATAGATGCACTTTGAAGAAAGAGAGAGAGGGAGACACACGTGCATGCGCACACACAGAGAGAGAGAGAGAGAGAGAGAGAGAATCACATCTAGATCTACCAAGAGTGATAATAATATTTTCATCTAGACTCAGTTTTTGTTAATTCTCTCTCCTCTATGTGTCTATCTCGCTCCTATGGAATAAGTATTATTAGCCATTCTTTGAATACCATAAAATTTCTCATTTCATGGTCTCATATAAAGTCATAAGTCAACTAAAACCTTGCATTTGAACTACTTTCAGTCAGTTGCAGTGATCTGATGATGCCACTGTCAAAACCAAAAGTTGCAGCACCCAGACTCAATTTCATCGTTTTAGCTGATCAGGAATTTGGGCCTAAACCAGGCTCTGATGATGATGAATGTGGGTGAAGATTTTGATCTCGATGGTGTGAAGATGATGAAATTAAGCCTGAATACAAGTGTTGTGATGTTAAATCATATTCCTTCTCAGCAGGGAACCTTCTGAACAGATTCTAGCTAAAATTTATATATCAACTTTCTTCCGAAATGCAATACCAGAAAATTCCAAAAATCCTAATCTAGCATTGCAGGATCAATATTCAAATCTGGAAGCTGAAACCAAGTTCGTTTATGTCTAAAACCTAAAAAAGTTCTATATATGTGCAGTAACCTTCCTTCTTTTCTTAGTGAAACCTGAACTATTCAGAAATGCAAGCTCAGCCCCTTTCAACCAGGATCAAAACAAAATAGATCCAAGCCACAGGAATTCATTTTGCAGAATATTGATCTGTGAGTTGCTTCAGGAATTCTTAACAAAGACATTTAGTGGTTGGGTCTTTGTTGTCAAGTCTCCATCAAACCCTCACAACCTAAAACAGTGAATTACTTCCAGCAATGAAAAGAGTCTGATGATAGAACAATTACAAGATCCACTACCATCTCAGATATCAATATGCTCCTTTTGTTGAATATCGAAGAGAGAACAACGAATTCATAACTCAAGGAATTTTTATCTTTCATATTAACACAAGTGTAAGCTCTAATTCTAAATTAGTAATAATTAAAAATGGAGACCTCGATGGCAATTACCAATAACATAGCAGGCAAGCCAGTGGTCCAGTGCACATAACAGACTCATATTAGCTCCATTTGAATGACATGCAAAACTAGAGCAACAGTGGGTAGTTAAAGCAACCAAATGCAGGCTTAATTATCATGCAATGGATATGTCAAGAATAGTTACCTGCAAAGGAGAATCTCCAGATGCAGGTTTAACACCTGTTACGGAACATCCCATGATCAGCCCATGCCTACGAACACCACGATACCATTTTGGGCCAATCCTCTTTAGTTTAACATCCTTAAATCCAGCCTTCTGGAACCACTCAATGTACTCTTCCTCCTTTGGGAAGAGCATCCAAGCATCAGCAAAGAAGCGAGACAACCAGAATGTTGGGTATACTGGACCAATTAAGCAGGCTTTACCTCCTAGCTTCAAAACCCTGTATGCTTCTTTGATGCCACGTTGTGGATCAGGCCAGTACTCAATACTGAGAAGGTGCAGACATGTAATTCCCATAAGAAATCTTAAAGAAAATTTACCTCGCTCGAATTTAAACAATAAAACATCAATTATTTATATTTCTTGAAAATTTACCATATTCTTACTCTTTAAGCTACATACTGAGAGATCAAAATTGATGTTTCATACACTCCTAAGAACTGACCCAAAAGCTTCTATTACATCAATGACATCACCAACATGTAGATAACCATTAACACACTAGATTCATAGAAACCAGATAGAGTCATCGCTTGGTAGAATCAAGGAAGACTGACAATATGCAGTTATAGTTTAGGAGAAGCCACTTCATCCAACAATGCTGAAGACAAGGACTTTCTCCAAATTCTCCCTCTTTTTGGCAGGATGCCACTTTGATGGAACTATAATTTTTTAAGTTCCAATGCCTTCTGGAAAGTACATACCAAATTACAGAAAAGCATATTCACAAAAATAATTCCATGGAATTTTGACCAGGAGAATCCTTCTAGATAGTGATTAAAAGGAATTAGAAGCTCAATAGTAATAAATAAGTTTGCAGTCCAACATAAAAGACTGTTTCTTCGATCACCAAAAGCTCAAAAGTAATACAAAAGTTTGCAGAAAAGTTCCATAGTAGTCCAACATAAAAGACTGTTTCTTCAGCCACCAAAAAATGAAACAACCAGAAATCAACACAACAAAGTGCAGTATCAAATAGCAAAAACAAGAATTCAGGTAAAATAAAAGGCAAGACATGCAATTCAGAAATATACCTCCCAGCAGACACGTATCTATCCGCATAATCAGTAGGAAATGGTAGATCCTCAGCATCGCCCTCAATAATCTTACAATCCTTCAAAGGCTCTTTCTGCTTGGCCTTTGCAAGCTGGTGTGGAGATTGATCAAGGATGGTAACATTTTTGGCATCCACATGCTTAACTATACCCAGAGTGGTGAAACCAGTGCCACCACCAACATCCACCACTAACATATTCCTGTCATTGAGATCAGCAGGCTCAAGTGCCTCATCTCTCATGTCCTCAGTCCAGTGCCCAGGGTTTATGACATGGTCATACACAATTGAAAGGAACCTGTAGAACCAAAAAGCCTCTTTCTTGTGTTGGATAAACCTAGGCTGTGACGCTGGCCTAGAGGCTGATAAACTGCACTTGGCTGTCGAAGTTCTTGCCTTTGAAATTCTAGTGCTAGAGATTAAATTCACTTTAGAAAAGTGCCTCCCTTGCAAATCTGCCCCCAAAAAGCCTAACCCTTTAGGGTTTATGCCTCTAACTAGAGTGAGGTTTTCAGCTCCATTGAGCATCGAGGAGGCCATGACTGGACCAAACAAAGATAACCCACAAAAGAAAAGAAGTGAACTTGGAGATTAAAGAAAAAACCCACTTGCAAAAAGTTAAAACGGTGGTGGTGTGTTGTTTGTTCAAAGCATGATGTTGATGTACAAGTATGTGTACGGTTGTGGTTAGTCGCTATATCTCTCTGGAACTGAAACAAAATATAGATAAAACAACCAGTAAGTGACCTAGATTAGCAGTGAGAAGGCTAACCACCAGTTAAGTTGAGTGCAGTGAGTCTGGTACTTAAGGCAGGGATTTATGTGTGTAGAAGTGGTTAGTGGTAAACTAGGCCCCAATCCGGTGAACAAAACCAGTGGTCTTCGGACTCTCAGATACAAGCAAAAAAATGAAGTAATGCTTGGTAATTTAGCTAAAAACCATATCGGTCCCTTTACTATTATGATTTAGTTTGATTGGTTTCTCTGCATTTAGTTTACCTTCATAGGTCCCTTTACTACTCTGTCAAAAAACAAAAAACAAAAAACGAAAAACAAAAAACGAAAACAAAAACGAAAACGAAAAAAGAAGCAATTACTCGTGCCAAGTCAGTGGCACCTAAAGATGACAATGGGATCTACAACCATGAAAGTCTGTCTTCCATTATCTAAATAGAATCAGAAACAGAGAGTCATAGTGGTTGTCCGCATTACAAGTTGCGAGTTTGATATAATAAAATCATTTTAAAAATTTTTAATTAATTAAAATTTTTAAATATTTTTTATAAATTTTTTGTTTAAAAAAACATAAATCATTCTTCTGTATTGATTGATTTTAACTAAAATATTAATCGAATATTAAAAAATTTAAAAATATATTTTTCATGATATTATATTTCAAAAAATAAAGTTAATTAATTGATAGATTTTTATAAAAAAAAACTAACAAATAAAAAAAAATTCTTATTTAATGCTGATGAGAAGATTGATTTTTGAAATTATTCATGCAATGCTGCTTGGTAGATAAAACAAAATCATTTCAAAATTTTATAATTTTTTCATTAATTTTTATTTAATTATTGCTATTTTTTGTGTTTTTAATAAAATTTCTACTTAAAAAAACATGATTTCTTCTTTTTTATTTAAGGATTCTTAAATAAAAACTTGTAATAATTTAAATCTGAAATATTAATTAAGAATTTAAAAAAATACTTTTAAAATATATTGTTTTATAAGAATACATCCAAAAAATAAAGTTACAATTAATGTATAGACTTGCATAAAAATTAACTAATGAAAAAAAATTATTTTTATTTAATGTTGATGAGAAGATTTTTTTTTAAAAGTATATGCATTTGATATATATATTTAAGAAATAATGAATAAAAATAGCATAAAAATAGTATTTGAATAATTGGTTGGTTCCCTTAAAAATTATTTTAATTATTTCATTTCAAATAAATTGGTTCTATAATGTTAAAAAATATATTCATAGTAAATAATTTGTATTATGTTAGAAGATGTATAAGTAATTTTTAATAAAAAATGATTTAATAGTTTTTTTATACGTCTTAACTATACTTAGTGAGCTGATACAAATTATTTGAAATACATTTTTAAACTTTTAGAATAATATATATATATATATATATATATATATATATATATATATATATATATATATATATGCAACTATTATTTAAAAATTTTTAAGAATTCATGATACATATTATATCAAATTATTTTTTTGAAAAAGAAAAAAAATAATGTTTTAAAATTTTATTCTAAACTTCAAATATAGAGTAAATAAATTATATTTATCAGCAAATAAAATTATATATAAAAATATTAATTGGATGAGAGTTTTCATAAAAAACGATAATTCAAAGAATGAAATTTAAATAATAAAAGGAATATAAGCTGTGGTATATGTTAATTTTAAAACATAAAAATATTTTATATATATATATATATATATATATATGTTGCGTGGAAAAAAAAAGTTAAGGATTGAAAAACAATGTTACAACACGAGGGACAAAAATAGAAAAAAAGTGTTAAATTTGCATATTAATGCCCAAAAATACATTAAAAAAAAATACATATAAAAATTACTTAAATTACCATTAAGTGAATATTAATTTTATGCATATGCACGGTAAGTGAATAAGAATTTTAGACATATGAACAGTTATATATATATATATATGTTGCATGGAAAAAAAAAGTTAAGGATTGAAAAACAATGTTACAACACGAGGGACAAAAATAGAAAAAAAGTGTTAAATTTGCATATTAATGCCCAAAAATACATTAAAAAAAAATACATACAAAAATTACTTAAATTACCATCAAGTGAATATTAATTTTATACATATGCACGGTAAGTGAATAAAAATTTTAGACATATGAACAGTTTGGATTCTTGCGCTATGTCATGGACCGAACAAAACATATTTATTTCGGTTTTATAATATATACTATGTTGCCGGTTAACTAAAATATATTAAATTAAATACAAAACATAAAATTTCATTTAATTTTATAATTTTTAATCACAATTTGTATCTATATATAATTTTTTTTTATGTTTTGAATAAATTTTGAAGCAAAAAAAATGATTTGCTCTTTTTTATGCATTTATTCTTAAATAAAAAACCCATAATAAACAATTTTTAATATAAATTTTTTAAAAAAAATTCTTAATATTTTTTTATAACATTACATTGAAGAAATAAAACAACAATTAATATAAAAACTTGTATGAAAAATTAACAAATGAAGCTTTTTACTAATGAGAAGATTATTTTTTTAAATATGTACATTTGATTTATATATATTTATTTAAAAAATAATGAATAATATTAGTATACAAAATTATATTTGAATTATTAAGTGGTCATTCTAAAATATTATTTTAATTATTTTATTTGAAAAAATTAATTTTAAAATATAAAAAATAGCAAATAGTTGGTATTGTGTGTATAGATGTATAGTTGATTTATAATAAAATCAATGACTCTAATGTTATTATTTTTTATACATCATGACCGCACTCAGTGTATGAAAATGTATCGTATAAATAGAAAAATATTTTAAAAAATTTAAATTATAAAATATATATTGAAGTTCATAGTGCAATAAAAACTATAAAATTGATTTCGATAAAATTTGATTATATAAAGAATGAGAAAATAAAATACATATACTCTATTTTTAAAATTTGATTATATGAGAATTAAGCAAATAAAAATTGGTATAACAAAAAACTTATTCGAATCCATACATAGAGAAAATAAATCACATTTATTAATAAATAAAATTATATAAAAAATAAGAATAAAAATTAACTTCATGAGAATTTTGATAATAAATAAAAAATAATAAATTTAAACAATAAAAGTAGTATATATTTATTCTAAAATATAAAACTATATCGTATATGTTATATAATCATTGGTTTGTGTGAAAAAAATAATGATTGATTTTTAAAAATCTTAACAACCAATTCAATATAAAAAAAAAGACATAAATTGATGGAAAAAGGCAAAGGAAAAAAAAAACCAAAGAGAAAAAAACAAAGGCTCGTACTGCATTAGCTAGAGATTAAAATTTTTATTTTAAAATTTTAAGGACCCAAATGAAATAATTTGAAAATTAGAAGAAGAAAAACTTAAAAATGAATAGTACATTACGAGGGGGTGAACGGTGTTATCACTTGTTCAAAACCCCAAGCGTGCATTAGTAATTACTCAATTTCTCACTCTACGTCACGAGTCGACCAATTTTTTTCAATTCGATAGTCCATATTATCTTATTGGTTAATTAAAATATATAAAATTAAAAGTAAAAAAATAATTTTCAATCCAAAAATTAAATTAAATTAATTATTTTTTATGTTTCTTATAATTCTGTAATTAAAAAAAACACAATCTTATGATTTAAAATTGATCTTTTTAAGTTTGTTATTTCCTATGAAAACTCTGATCAAAATAGTTTTTTATTCCTTTTCATATAATTTGATTTGTTGACAAAATATGATTTATTTTATCTATGTGAAAATTTTCAAATAAATTCTTTTTTTCAATAAACAATCAATTAAAAAATAGAATTCATGTACTTTATTTAATTTTTTATATAATTAAAATAAATTTTGTAATTTTTTTTTATCGTAGTTTGCTAATTTCAATATATTTCTTGTAACTTAAGTTTTTTTTAAAAAAATATTTTTTTAATTTATACTGCACACTCGGCTTACTAAGTATAGTCATGGTATATAAATATAAGTGAGATTATTAATTTTATTAAAACTTAACTATGCATCTACACACATAACACCAATAATTTATTATTATTATTATTATTAACATTATAAAATTAATTTCATAATTTTTAATCAAATAGTTTTATTTAATTTATTATTCTTTTATGTTTTTCATGAATTTTGTAGTTAAAAAAACACAATTTATTCTTTTTTATGCATTCATTCTTGAATAAAAATCTGCAATAATCTAAATTTTAAATTTTAAAAACATCTTAAAATTATTTTCATAAGATTGTGTCAAATAAATACATTAAAAATTAATATAAAAACTTGTATAAATATTAACAATGAACCTTTTCATTCTTGTTTAATGCTAATGAGAAGATTAACTTTTTAAAAATATGTATATTTGATTTATATATATTTATTTATAGAATAATCAATAATATTAGTATAAAAAATGTATTTAAATAATTAGGTGGTTCTCTAAAATATTAAAAAATAGCAAGTAATTAGTGTTATTTGTGTAGATGCGTAATTAATTTGATGAGAAATTTTATAAGAAACGACAAATTAAAATTTTAATTTCAAATAATAAGAGTAATAAAATCCAATATATATGTGTTATTTAAAATATGAAAATATAATGTATATATTTCATAATCACCAGTTTGTATGAAAAATTGAAAAAAAATGACAATCGTTTTTTCATAATTTTTGCTTTCAATTCAATAATTAAAAAAAAAATTGTTAGAAAAAAAATAAAAGTAAAAGCCAA